CCCCCCCCGCTGTGACCCGGCCAGTCCTGCCAGGACCGGAGCCCCCTGGGGTTACTGCCGTCCACCCAGCGTCTGTCCACCGGGTGCCTCGAGCAGACGCCGGCTCCGTCCCGTTGGGCCGGCCGATGGCACTTTGCTTACACGTAGCAAGAGGTGGCATCGCCGAGGCTCCGCAATGTCCCTGTGCCGCCCGTGAAAAGCCTGGACTCGCCTGCTTGGCTGCCCTCCTGCCTCGCTGCTCGGCCCCGAGGCCGCCCTGGCCGCCCTGCCCGCCCGCGAACGTGCCTCCCCCTCCGTCGGTAACACTGCTGCTGCTTCTGTCCCATTCACACTCTTTCCCTTTCTTCCTGCTGCATGGAGACCCTCTGCTGCACAAGTGTGAGTATCCGAGCCCCCCGCCCCCCGTTTCCGCTCTCCGGCCCCCTTGCTTCCGCGCTGGCTGCCTGGCTGCCGCCCAGGACCCGTCCTGTCGTCAGGCACCCGGGGCCCCGACAGAGCAGGCGGCGACTGACAGACGACTGGGTTCCCCGAGGCGGTTCAGCTGCCCAGACCGGCGATGAATGCGGGACACCCGGCCGTGGCCCGAGCAAGCGGGTGCTGGTGGAGGAGGGTTTAACCGCTGGGGGGGCCTCCCGATGGCAGCCAAGTGAGGAAAAAAGAGACGCGCTCCCCGAAACGTCCAGCTCCGTCCCCTTGTTTTCCTGGGTGACGGAATCGGCGTCAGCCTCACTGCTCACGTTGCAACAGTGTTGCTAATCTGCTTGCAACTGTGTTTTCTTAACCAACATTTTGTTTTGTTTCGTTTTGTTTCGTTTCGTTAACCTCGGGGGGAAAGGAAAGTAACTGGGCCCCCTGAGCGTGGAGTGAGGGCTGTTTGCTGTTCTTCGTGCAGACTTGGTCACGTGAAGAAGGAAATGCCTCCATCCTGTCCTTGTGGGGAAACAGTCTTGCTCTCGTTTTGTTTTGCTTTTTAAATCAGCCTGTCTGGGAAGTGCACGCTGAAAGTGAACCTAACAGGGAAGGAGCGTGTTGTTCGTCAGGCTCCAGCGTTAGTCATCACCTTGCAGTAAAAATAGGCGTGTCGCCCGTGAGCGGCGTGAGGATGGTTTTAAATCCGGTATGAAAACTGGGTCAGGCGGGTGAGATTCCCGTGCTGCCCTGGCTCCCGGGGAGCAGGCCACGCGCTCCAGTGTCGCCGTCTGCCCCCGCCCGTGACGCCAGGAGGAGGAAGGAGTCTGTCTTTAGGGGGTTTCCTTCTGTAGTTACGTGTTTTAAAGGATTTAATACATTGTTCCTCCTAGTCCTGAGGATGTTAATTGAAAATGACTACTTATTACTGAGAGAATGCGCTTTTAAAGATAAAGGACGTCTGCCGTGGCCTGAAGCCGTGGTTGGGGGTTGACCACGAATGGGTCCATGAGATGTTTGGTGTGACTCTCCAGCTTCTGTGCCGACCTCTCAGGGACGGGCACGGCGTGATTTCTCTGACGGGAACCACGTAGGTGCGGACAGACCGACGCCGGGGGAGAGGACCGAGAAAGTTCACCCTCCGGAGGCAGAGACGACTGCCGACCTTAGGGCCAGCTTTGCTTAATCGACAGCCGACACCCACGTTAGAGAAACTCCCTTGACGCTCTGGCCGTGATTTGGGTTTTGGTCTCGTCTCTTAAAGGACCAGCAGGACCAAGGGCGTCTGTCTGAGACGTGAGGGCAGATACAGCTTCTGAATCCTGGGCGGCCTGAGCCCACGGTGTAAAGATGGGAAGCTGGGCGGTGGGGATGGGAAAAACCAGACGCGCTGCCTCGGGGGCTGACGGGACAGGTGCCCCCGCTGCTGCTGCGATAACACGGGATCACTGCGTCCGGTTCTCAGGGGCTGATTTTAGTTTCTCCATCGTAGTCTTTCCACCCATTTAGACACCTTCACGTGCAGCTCAGAGCTCGGTCCCGTCACCAGGACGTGACTGGTTAGGGCTGCGGGGAGAGGAACTGCCGGCTGCCGCGTCCGAGGAAACGGAGCGTTTAGAGACGCTTGGGTCTGGTCCGTTCAGTCCGCTGTCCGACAGCACAGACCGTCCTCGGAAGTGAGACGACCCTGAGCTTGAGCAGGGTCCCCGGTGCTGCTGCAGTGTGAAGGGTGGTTTGTGCAGACACCTGACTCGGCGCTTTCCGTGTTTTGTTGCTAGATGACCCCTAAGTCCAAAAGGAAGACCATCCACAGCCGGATGCTGCGGCCGGTGTCCAGGGCCTTCGGTGAGTGCCTGACCCTCCTGGCCCTGGCCTGGCACCCGCAGGGGTGCTTCTCGGGGGTGCCCTGACGCGCAGGCGGTGGTCAGGTGATCGGCGAGTGGCTGTTCGCTGCCCCCTGCTAGACTCTCGTCACCGTCAGGAATTTCTCTCCGTCTCTGAGCAGGGGGCGTGGGTCTGGACTTTGCTTCCTGCAGAAATGGAGTTTGATCTGGACAAGGCCCTGGAGGAGGTGCCCATCCACATCGAAGACCCGCCTTTCCCATCCGGCCGGGCAGAGAAGCGGAGCTCGGGCTTCATCGCCGAGCTGCCGTCCGAGGAGGGGAGGAAGCTGGAGCATTTCACCAAGCTGAGGCCACGGCGCAACAAGAAGCAGAGGCCCACCCAGGCGGCGGTAGGTGGCGGGGCTCGGGGGGCCTGCACCAGGGGAGCCCTGCCGGAGGGGGGGCTTGGTTAAAGAGCGCAGACCCTGGGCTCGCGACATTCGTGCAGAATAGCTTCACTTGGCCCTCAACAATTTTGGAAAAGACAACACTAGTTTCCAACTCTCAGGACAGGGTTGTCCTTGGAAGGCCCTAGAGAAATACTACTCACGTGGGTGAGAAAAACAGGCCACGTCTGTACAGTTTTATAGTGCGTGAGTGTAAAAGATAGAAAATGACTAGCAAAGAATTTATTTGTGATTAGGAGATGTTGGCATCTGACTTTAGGTTGTGAACATGTGCTGACCTGCTCTGGTGCCTTTGCTTGGATCTGAGTGGGGTGATATGGACTTGAGTGGGGGGCAACATGGACCTGAGTGGGGGGCGACGTGGATCTGAGTGGGGGGCAACATGGACCTGAGTGGGGGGCGACGTGGACCTGAGTGGGGGGCGACGTGGACCTGAGCGGCATGGTGACAGCTCCCTGCCACCCCCTGCAGGAGGGGATGGAATTGCTTGTGTTGGGAGCACGTTTACTCTGTGTCTCTGGTTCTTGTGTCTTCTCTTCTTAAGAAAGACTCCTTGAAAAAGTTGTCTGACTTCTGTCCCTGCTCCAAATTTTGCATTCTGGGCCTGCCCACCCGGAACTGCCCAGGTGTCCACCCCTGACCTGGTCCTGTGGACGTGTCCTCTCGCCTGATAGCCTGGGCAGTCTCGGCACAGAAGGCTCCGTCCTTCCTGAGCCACGATTCCGTGGCCCGGGTTGGCACACTTTCATCCCAGCCACCCCTGCAGCGTGGTGCCGTCTAACCTGTGCCCCCACCCCTGTCACAGTTGTACACGTGACTTTAGTTCCAGTGGACCAGTCAGTGGTTCCCATGGCCCTGGTCACAGAGCCTTGAACCTGACAGCTGTCCGCTGATTTAGCTGAATGTCCGTGACCTGTTCGGTTTGCAGGTCTGCGCTGTGACCGTGGTCGCCCAGGACGGCGAGCAGAACGGCCTCATGGGGAGAGTGGACGAAGGGGTGGATGAATTCTTCACCAAGAAGGTGACCAGGATGTGAGTTCAGAGTCGTGACCAATGATGCTGTTTAATTTGCATGTAAATTACGAGCAGTCACAATTGAACCGTGTAGACCAAGGCTCGTTTATTTCATACACAGTATATTTTTTGATGGAATTTACTGTTCTGATGGTTTGCAAAATATGACCCTTAGGCCAGCAGTGTGGTTATCGACTGGGAACGTGTTAGAGACGCAGGTTCCCGTCCTCGCCCCAGACCCGCCGACTGAGCGTCTGCAGGTGGACCCAGCGTCCTGGGTGAATAGCCCTGCAGGGCTGTGCTGGACCGTGGAGCCTCCCAGAGTGTTTTCCCAGGGCATTCTCTCCTTCGCCCGGGCGACTGTTATAGGGCAGTGAGCGTGGACAGCTGATGCCACTATTTCTAAACGCTCCCTGTTTGTAGCCTGACACATGCGTGGGCCGCAGGTCCCAGGTGGAAGCACAGCCGGAGACACTGTTGGGAGGACAACCCAGCCAGCAGAGAGGTGGCGGCCTTGGCCTCGAACACACCCATCTGCGCGCTCTTGGCACTAAGTGCGGTTTTCTTAGAGGATTCAGTGGTACTTTCATTAAGTCATTTACCTTAAAACACTCCAGTCTTTTTTTTTTTAATCCTTACCTGAGGGTATTTTTCCATTGATTTTAGATAGAGTGGGAAGGAGAGAGAGACAGAGAAACATCGATGTGAGAGAGACACACTGACTGGTTGCCTCCCACTCTCGCCGGGATCGAACCCATGACCCCCTTTCGTGGACGGGCGACGCTCTAACCACTGAGCCACACTGGCCAAGGCAGCCACTAGGCTTTATGATGATTTGTACCAGGTTTTCAAATCCCCAGCCAGAGGCAGGTCCATCCTCAGACACACACACGGTCAGCCTGGATTTGTGTCAGGGACTCTTCACCTTGGGACGCGGGGCTCGGGAAGGGATTTAAACCACGTGATGAGCCGCGGCGGGCAGGTGGGTGGGGGGAGGAGCCCGCCGTCCTGGAGATCGCGGTGCCTTATCTCGCCGCAGCAGGATGGCGGGGAGAGTTTACACCCACGAACCCACGACAGCGCAGCGGGCCGAGCGCTGTGGGCTTTAGGACGCTGTTATTTGTCTTTGACGCTGGCCTGAGCTTGGCTCACCATCCTTGGAGGAACCTGTTCTCCTGTCCTTCAGGAACCGCCTGAAGTGTCATTTTTTCTCTGAAGCTCTGCCGCGGCTGCTCCCCTTGCCCCCGAGTTAATTGCCGTGTCTCTAAAGCCGACTCCAGCTTTCTCCTGTCTGGAGCTCACACAGTCCCCGGGGAGCTCGGCTTGTTCTTTTTCTCAGCTCCGGGGGCGGATGATCGGATTCCCAGGGCCAGAGACGGAAGCAGTACCCCGCACACGGGACAAGGGGACGTCCCTCGAACCTTTTCTCCCGTAGAAGCTGCTCTGTGTTTTTATGTTTGAAAATTAATTTTTCCAAAGATTGCCCTTTAGAAGCGGCTCCCGGGTCTTTTTCATTATAACCCCGTGTCTGTGACACAGCCCATAATATGTCGCCTGCTGTCTGTCCCTGAGGGACGAACGAGTGAGGATGCTCTCGGCCCATATCCACGGGAACCACGGGTGCCCCGTCGGCGCCCCCCCTGAACTCTAGAAACGGGCGTCTGGTTGGCGGGGACGTCGGTGTACGTCTGATCGGCGTCCCGTGAGCTCTTGCGCCTGCCCAGGTGTGACTTCCTCACCTGCAGGCGGCTGGCTGATGGCCCAGAACGAGAGGTGGGAAGTTTTGTCAGGTGTAAAACCCGCTGCCCCGGGAGGATTCGTTAGGTTCCAGCACAGGGAGAACTGGACACGTCAGTTTTCGTCGTGTGGTGGGGGAGTCCACTGGAAGGGACCTGTTTCGTTTCTTTTTCTTCTATAAAAACTGAGATTGTCACTTTGATATGCAAAGGGCTGGGGTTAGGTACAGCCCCGAAGCTGAGTGAGGGAAGTTTGAAAATCAGAGTTTTACCTGCTCGTAATTTAAAATGTCAGATGTTCTCCAAGGCTTATTTTTTCCATGTTCCCCAGAAGCAGTTAATTCCTATTCCTTTAGCTGTTTATTTTTTTATTTTGCTTCCAAATTCCTTAATAACTTGCAATTTCCTGTTTTTCAGCTTTGGATGGTAACTATAATTAGTGACTTCTCACTACGGAGGATAATCGCTTAGTTACTATTACTTGGCGCCCGCCAAGCGCACACGGGCAGACGCTCACGCGCCCCTTTCCCCGTTAGTCAGTCACGTCATGATTGTTCTATCAATGTCGAGTGTTTTTAAAAAAAATGTTTATATTAATTTCAGAGGGAGAGCGAGCTAGAAACAGATGAAAGAGAGTCATCGACTGGCTGCCTCCCGCACGCCCCCTGCTGGGCATGGAGCCTGCGACCTGGGCAGGCGCCCTGACCGGCCTCGAACCTCAGGTGGTGCTGTAACCACTGGGCACACCGGCGAGGGCTGTTCTAACTGATTCTTGCTGGACCTTGAATTACAGTAAAACCAGCAGGATTCCTTCTTTTGAGTCACAGGAGATCGTCAGCAAGAGGCCCGGAGTCCCAGGACCTCGGTGAAGGAGGCGATGAAAAGAAGAAGAGAGAATCTCGGCGGAGCGGCTTCCTCAATCTGATCAAATCCCGGTCGAGATCTGAGCGGCCGCCCACGGTCCTGATGGCAGAGGAACCGTCCTCACCGAAAGGGGTGGTCAGAAGTCCGGCCGTGGACACACCCAGGAGGGACTCGAGGCCGGCCGAGCACAACGGCAACTCGGAACGGACGGAGGAGATAAAAACGCCCGAGCCCCTCGAGGAGGGTCACGGGGAAGACGTGGGGAGGCCGGAGCACGGTGACGGCAGGGGCAGCCCGCAGGGGGGCCGGAGGTACGGGGTCCAGGTGATGGGCAGCAGCCTGATGGCCGAGATGAAAGCCAAGCAGGAGCGCCGAGCGGCCTGTGCGCACAAGGTAAGGGCCCTGCGGACCTGCTGTGTTTGGGTTTTGCCCCCACGGTGAGAGAGGTTCAGAAACGTAGCCTGTTGGTTAAGTAAAAATCCAAAAAACCAAATACTTTTCCCTAAAACCTCCTTCCCGAGAGCCGCAGTGTCCCAGGTCGGTCGCGGGTAGTACCTGCCCGGGGGGTTCCTGTACCTGTCACCAGAAGCACGTGACGTGACGGCTGGTGCCCCTCAAATCGGGGAAAGACTGAGCGTTGAATCCCTGTGGCACCTGAACTGACAGGCAGATACAAATACTCAAACCAGAGCCTAATTATAGAATCGTAGACTTATGTCATAATTTATTCCCTTTTCCCAAACCTAAAAACTCCTGGGTATATTCCAAATGTAAAAGTCAAAAGAAAAAAGCCAAGGTGTCCCATTAGAGTTCACTGAATACTTGACCACGGACATGATGTCTGTTGCTGAGAAGAAAAACCTTATAGTTAATCATTGCTGAGTCCCCTAAATCTGACTCAATGCATAATTTATTCTCTGAACCGCTTTTTAAAATATAAGTTGTGCCCCCCCCAGTTGCCTGTTTCCTCCTGCAGCTCCTTGAAGGGCTGAGCCCTTGTCACGGTCACTGAGAGCCACGTGCCACGTTTAAACCAGGCCATGGTTTCTGTGGATTGCCCTGGGCTCTTTGAAGTTTGTGGAACTGGGTTCTCCAAAGAAAGGGAGACCGCACCCCTACTTTATGTGGAGGAGCAGATTAACCCATTCACCCCAACCCACGCTTGGTTTTCAGAAAGGAAACGGCGAGTTCTATGCCAGGGTTACGGTCCCTCCTACCCGCGCATCCTACGGAAGAGTTGAGGGGCACCGTAGGGCTCCATCTGCTAGTTCAACCAGGAGGCAGGAGGCGGCCTTCACTGGTCAGGGTTCTGAGTAAATACTGTGACCACGTCATTGGTGGAAATGTTTAAATGACGCCCGAGGAGGTGTTTAAATTTTCATGTTTTATGGAATTTCTTTGACACCGAGCTCACTGTTTCCACCAGTGAGCTGTTTGTTTGGTCACTGTTTCCACTGAAGAGCAGCTGCCCTTGGTCGCAAGATGAGATGTGCTCCAGGCTTTTTCCAGCGCTTTGGGTTTGGTATATAAATAGGCTCCAAGTGACCAAATTCTTGGGGTTTAAAGTATTATGTGTTTGAGGTTCACACCAGTGGTCTCGTAGCACCATCTAGTGTCTGTTTAAAGTAACAAGAATAAAAACCCTTAGTATTTAAAATTCGAACCAGTCAGGGATATTCACTCTAGTAGTGATTTTTCATCTCTGCGCCCTGAGAATTTTAAAGATTTTAAAACATGCAGTACCTGGCTACTTAGTTGGCAAATAAAAAGTGACGACAGCCAACACAACAATAGCCGTCCAGTGTGAATGAATTAAAATTTTACCTGGGTTTTTGTTGTTTTTGTCAGATGAGCAAAAAATATATTTTTGTGTGTGCCGCGGAATTTTAGTAGTTAGTTGATGTGCCGTGAGATGAAAAAGGTTGAAAATCGCTGCTCTATTAGGACAACAAATAATAAAAGGGTGCTTTTGAAAAATTCGCTTTATGACATTGTCCCCTGAAATCCCAGGAGTGTGCACCATGAGCATCGGCCAGGAACATACTGTTGATAAAAGTATATGTATGTCGTCTTCACGTTCCCCTCGAGCGATGCTCTTTACACTGCTCACTTTTAATGTAAGTATTTAAAGAAAAAGAGCCGAGAGGTGAAGGTTCCGCACATGTTACCTGCTGAGACAGGAGCGTGACAGGCACTCACGGCGTAGAGGCCACGCCTTTCCTTCTGGGGCCACCGGGTGGCTGCGTGGCCTCGGGGACAGGCTTCGCCCATCACAGGTGCTGCGCCGAGTCTGCGGCATTGACCTTCCCCGTCTCTGCCATCAGAGATCTTCCGTATAGTTTGTGGGGTTTGGTTTAATGGATTCTGGCTGGCTTATCTGTGTTGGCCTCTGACACACCACACCCGGGGCCTTGGGCGCTGCCTCCACGGCGTGGAAGCCCTGCCTGCTCCGGGCCCCTTTCACCTGTCCCCAGTCACCTGGGACATGTTGGGCTTCTTCTAAAACTTGACGTTTGGAACCGAACGTGAGCAGGTCCAGTGTCGGTCCACATGGCAGTTCAGCAGGGAAACGGAGCATCGCCAGGGCCAGTGGCCTCCCCAGACCACGTACCTGCCACCTATGGGGCGTATCCCAGGGACTGGCCAGGCCCTGGGCCCCGAGCCCTGACTGTGAACACAGGACAGAACACGCCCCAGAGCGTGGTGCTGAGCCTCAGGGACACAGTCAGACGCCATCATCACCACAGCTGGGTGAAAGAGCCATTGTTTTTTGGTCATGTACTATGTTGTGTGTTTTTTTTCTACACTTTAAATAAATATGCACTTTTGGGGGGGGGCTTCTTGAATTTTTCAGAAGCTTGGAAATGATGCCGCCTCCCAGGAGCCACCCAGCCTGGCCGGGAGCACAGAGCAGCTGGATGGAGGTGGGGCAGGTAGGACAGGCTGGTGGCTTCACCGGCGCAGGGGCAGGTCCCGGGTGGGTCTGACGGCTCCCAGTGCAGGACGATCTGTTCTCTGTGCACACGCAGGGGCCTGCGTGTCGTCCCGCGTGATGCTTGTCACACTTATCCGTGGTCGGAAGAGCACCACGGAGTTTGTTGCTACAGGGAAGCCAGGCTCCCACTGCTGCTTCTGTTCTGAAGGGCTTGTGACAAGTGACAGGGACCCCGACAGCAGTTTTTTCCCCTGTGAGTTTTAAAATAAAGTTGCTTTTTGTTCCCATTTTCACTTCAGGGCCTAAACTGCACTCGGCTCTCCCGGGGACCCCAGAGAAGAACTCCAAAGTGGACTCCCCCCGAGTGGACGCGGGCTTCCGGGGCCGCAGCTCCTCGAACGCCAGGCCCTCCCTGCAGTCTCCCAAGCCCAGCCCGGCGGTGCGGCCCGCCATCCCGCAGAAGCCAAGGACCGCCTCGCGGCCTGGTAGGGGCTCCGCGGGTTGGGGTGATGCCGGCACCGGGGTGTTTCTGGGGGCCAGTGAACCTGGGCTGGGGGGGGTGCTGCAGGGGTTACGACAAAATGGACAGAGGCTGGGAAAGCGACCTGGCTGGAAGGCCCTCTGTCCAGCGTCGAGGCCACCGACTCAGGCTGTCCTCCCATCAGGGCTGCCGGCCACGGGGAGGGCTCAGGTAGCCCCCTGAGCCTGCCCCCAGGTCGGGGTGCCTTTGGAGGCTGCGGCTGGAGGGTGGGGCCCCAGGCAGGGGAGGGGCAGGCTCCTCTGTTTTTAGCCCGTGTTCTGTGACGCGTTGGGGACTCGGGACAGGGTGTGGTGGCCCTGGGCCTGTTCTGTAAGTGTCACCACACAGCCGCACCTGGTGTGCACCTGTTGTCTCCGGTGGCTTTGAGCTCAGTGCCAGGTGCGTCGTGGCGACAGGGCCATCGCATCTGCAGAGCCTAAAATGTTTACTGTTTTGCCTTTTACAGAAACAGTTTGCTGACTCTAAGTTTAGCAAATCTAATGACAGAGGAAACTTACACGCATTAGCGATGGGCTGGCTCTGCCCTGTTCCCTCCTGCGGGGATTTGACAGCAGGTAGAGGCAACGGGTGGTGCGTTTTGCATAGTTTAAGAAAACCAAGCGGCCTCTGTGTGGGAAGCAGGAGCCTTGGTTCGCTCACCACCCAGTTTTCAGGTGTCAACTTGTTGGGGTCTCTCTGCGAAATAGTCACCTTTCGTCACTTTGCAGGACTTGTCCCTCCACTGTTTGTCGATGGCATCACTCAGCTGAGTGGAAACATGAAACTAGTTTTTGGCTAGAAAAGTTCTGCGATGCTTTTTAAGAATCACCAGTCCCTTGTGTTGAAAGACCAACCCCCTCGTGTTGGAGGATCCGGCTCACAGAGCAGCGTGACCCGTGTGTTTGTGTCTCCACAGAGGACGCCCCCGACTCTCCGCCCGGCCTCGGTTCCCCCAAAGTTGCGCTTCTTCCTCCCGCCCTGAAAAAAGTCCCTGCAGACAGGGAGCGAGAAGGCCAGGGGAGCCCCCAGCCCAGCCCCAGGACATTTTCCCAGGAAGGTAGGAAATGCTTTCCTCCAGCCCAGCTCTCCCCAAGGAGACTCATTTAGAGAGAGGAGTAGACCCTGGACTGAACTAATAGCTTATATTGAAGTCAGCTTCCCTGGGTCAAATGCTGGGACCAGCGCGGTTTCCCGGCTCAGAACCTCGGGTTGGCATTGTTGGCGACACAGGATGTGGGTGGGGGATGCACACGGAGAGAGGGGCACCCCCGCGATGCCGACCCAGAGGCCTCACGTCTTTGTAACAGTCCCCACTGTGCTCCTGCCCTGGCTCCCAGCACACCTCCGGCCTTGGTGCTGCCTTTCTGTGTCCGGGCCCCGCTGTGTCCCGGAAATGCTTCCCTGGGCTGTGGCCCGGGGCAGCCGCCCAGGCCTGAGTGGCTTCGTGGCTCATTCTCAGCAGAGTGGCCCCTGCGGGGACCCTCTCAGGCCGTCGTCTCACCAGTGTGCTCCCTCTAATGTGCAGGGTGGGAACAGAGCAAGGCCGTCCCGGGACGGTGCCCAGCCGCCTCCCAGTCAGATCCGAGTGGTGACCGTGGAGGCGTCTGGTGGCCTCAGCGCCCACTGTCCCTTTCGCTCACATTCTGTAAATGGCAGTTGACTCTTGGGTTCTGTCCTCCGTGAAGGGCCATGTGAATGCCATCTGAGTCCCTCCTGTAAGGAAAGTCTAGAGCCGCAGTCACCACTGTGCCCAGATGTCTCTCCCTGGGGGGTGGGGCCGCTTGGTTCTAGTTCAGGTTTGATACTTAGGATTCGTTGCCCTGATGCCTCTGATATCTTCCCACGTTTACCCAATTTTCTTTCTTTTTTGTGGCCAGCTTTATTTTATTGATGGTGGTCGTGGGGTGGGGTCCCTAGGAAGTGTCTCTGAGCACTGCCTCTGTGATTGGGACTCGAGTACAGAAATACCCCTGCCAGCTTCCCTTCTCCATCCCGCCGGCTTATTTGGTGGGTGCCCATCTGACCCACCTCTCGGCCGTAAATAAAAGAAGGTGGGGTTTTACCAAAGCTGACAAACCGCTTCGTGTCACATGGAGAAAGCAAAGCTGTGGCAGGCGGGTGGCTGGCCCCCAGTCGTTCCACGCGTGGCGAGTAAACGCAGGGCTTGGTGGCAGCCGCCTCTGCCAGTCTTGGTGTAGAAGGAAGACCCTTTGGTGGTGCCAGTGGTCAGAGCGCCTGGAGCCAGGGCGCGTCCCTGAGGACCCTGCCCCTTCCCCGCCCCGCCCTTGCCTTCCTTTCTGCAACCTTTGGCTTTGTCTCCACTTATTAGGAAGCTTAGGACACGCCTGCAGGGACCCCGTGCGAGAGGCGGGGAGGGGAAGGGTTGGGGAGGGGAAGAGTCTCATCCAAAGCAGTTGAGATGCGGAGGATCCCAGAGAAAAGGTCAGGAGGTGGAATGAAGGCTGAACTTTCCGGTGTGAACAGCGAGCGGTGCTGGGTAGATGCCTATATGGTGAACACGAGGCCTCTCAGACTCAGCGCAGCCCCAGGGGTGAGAAGGCCGACCACCGCGGGGCCTCTGCGGTGACCGAGCCGGCGACTGGCCGGACGCAGCCACGTGCCCTTAGCTGCTGGGACAGCGTCCAGGCGCTTCCCCCGAGGAGTTGCAGTGACTGGCTGCTCCTCACGGACGGGAGTTTCACGGGTGGACGCGGGATCCGCCCTCCCGCCGCTGAGAGCAAGCGTTAGGAATGGGTTGAGCCTCCGCCGCCCCGGGCGGGCGGGGGGCGGAGCGACGGCGACCGTGGCGCCCCACCTGGGGCCCCGAATAAGGCAATCGCAGAATCACTGCGGAGGCCGCGCTCGGCATTGACCCTGGGCTGCAAATACACAGGCGGTCGGAGGCCGGTTTGCAGTGTCCCGGGTGGCAGGACCTTGATGTCCCCGCCCGTCAGCTGGCGCGGGCAGGAGAGCCCGTGTCTCTCTTTAAAGAACATTCCTGACGTGTTGGTCGCTGATGTCACGTACGTTGTTCATGCTGGTTCGTCTCCCTGTTCTGTGCCTCCCCCGGACTAGCCGGCCCGACCAATTTCTGAAACAGGTAAATGGCCGCGGTTCTTCGGGCTTCTTCCATCGTGAATGTGACTTTTCGTTACTCCATCCCGGGGTCAAAACGGCAGCCCTGGGGCCTCCTGTGAGCACCCCTGGGGCAGCCCCGGAGCGCCCCTCGTTTTGCACGATGCCCCCATCATGTTGGCTGGTGGGTTCTGCAGATGACGCGCTGCAGGGTCCTCGAGTCCCGAGTGGGGCGGGTGAGCCGATATCTCATTTCTGTCCTAATGTCAGTACGTTTGGATGCTGGTGTCGACACGCGGGTGTGTTTGCTCATCTGAAGGGTAAAATGAATCCCTTTTCCTCAGTGGTGCAAAGAGGAGATTATTACAAAAGGCACTCAGACCATGACAGTAGCAGGCCTTCCAGTAGAGGGAAGAGATCTTCAAAACTGTTCCCCGCCCTCGCCGAGGAGGAGGCCATTGCGCTCGGGCCCAGGAAGCCACAGCCAACACCTGGTCAGAGCCTGCGGTGTCATCCCTCACTGCCCCGTCGCTGCGAACTGGCACTAACCAACACCCTCAATTGGGAAACTTCTGTTCGTACAACTGATTTTTTAAATTTTTTTTATTTCCCTAAATGGCAACAGGATGGTCCTACAATCTGGGGCAAAAAAATTGACTTAAAAAATGTAAAACTAGAAATTCTTAGGAGGATCCAGTTACCTCGGAGTATGGTGACTGGTCCCTTTAAGTTCCCGTGGCCGCGTAGAGGTTTGCTTTATGTTCGGAGTCATGGCCCCCACCTCGCTCCTTTGTCTCTCTGGTCTGTTAGATTTAAGCTGGGACTGGAGCAGAACTGTCGGAGTAACGCACTCAGTGCCTCTAGAGACCGTCGGCCTCGCACCCGGCCTTGCACTCTTGGGAAGGGTCCATAGAGACCAGTGACCGCATGCAGACCCTGTGGCCTGTACGGGGTCTTCCAGTGGACACTTCATGACCCTTTAGTATGAAAGAAAGAAACCAATGGACTTGTCAACCTCTGGGAACAGTGGGCTCTAGTTAGAGCGGTTCCGCTGGGCTCCTGGCTCCCCTCTGACACCACAGCGAAGTCTGTCGTGTTCTGCCCGTGAGGACAGTCCCGGGAGACAGCCAGCCTTAACCTCCAGTGGGAAATTTTAGAAGAGTCTTTGCCGATTCAGGGAGAAAATGTCTTTTATGTGGCTAATTACACATCACTTCCCGGGCTGACAACTTTTTATGAGCATGACTGGAAAGACATTGTAAAGGAAACCTTCGCGTCATGATGGGAAAGACTATATGATAGTCTGCCACGTGCGATTTCCTCGAAGGGCGCCTTCCTTGGAAGGAGGCTTTGTGTTCCTGTGGAACGAGCTCAGGGGTTAGCCGAGGAGGGAGCCCCGCCCGTGTCCCAGCGATAACGCCACGCCCCTCACCGCCTCCCAGGAGCCCCCCAGAAGCCGGGTCAGTGGGAGTGACCTCCGTTTAGGAAGAGCTTCTCTTCATTGCAGAAGGGTAGCTGTTCTTACCTTAGCTCTTTGTTATCGATAGCAAACCTCCCGGACCCTCCTTACGGATGAACAGCCCACGAGTTACAAGGCCTCGAGTGGGAACTGTTGTTTCGAGGGCTCTCCTTGACATAGATTTACAAACAAAACCAAAAAAGGCATCTGCCTGCTTCCCACCAGCAACGGCACGGAGCCGGCCTTCTCGGACAATCCCGTTGGACCGGCCACCGCTCTGACTTGCCTGGTGGTCTGGCTCAGGCCAGCCTGGTGGAGCCGGGGATGCGACCTGCCCCCCCCCCAGCGTCAGGTGAAGTCCAAGGTCACGTGGGGATGGGCCGTTCTGCTCGGGCCACGTAGCACCTGCCCCAGAGGACACCCCCTGACTCCCTCCTTCCCTCGTCAGATTTCTTGGGTGGGAGACGTGTTTATAAACACAGTTATGATAGCCGGTCTCTTGTCAAGATTGTCTCTGATAGTTTCAAGAAAATGTTACCTTCAAGTCATAGGAAAATGATATAGCTAGAAGCCTAAGATGCTTACTTGCCGAGAGAGGCCGAGTTATTTTTGAGAGTATCTGAAATCAGAAGCCCGGTCTCTCTATGGCCCCTTTTTGACAAGGACACTCAAGGTCACAGATGTTTCTAGATTTTGGAAATTTACATTTGAACTATTTTATCGGTCGACTTATGCCACTTTATTAACAAAGCACCCCTGATACAAGGCAGTGCTCCCTCAATGGGCTACTAAACGCAGTTTATACAACATGCAGACCCAGAGACCACGCCCCAGTGCCACTGATAACCCTCTGATTTAGAGTGAAAAAGAGAAACCAAATTGTAGAAAGGCCAGAAATTCTGTGTCTGTCTCAGATTTTTCCCCATGAACCTCTTTGGCTTAAAATCCTCATGGTGATGGGCTGCGCCAAATTCTGATGGGATTAAATAGGACCATCTTGTGTTTGCTTTTCTGCCTCAATTTCTTAAAATACTGGAAGAAAACCAAAAAAGTAATTTTTGCAGGGGCTTCAATTAAAGTGACTTTACGTATAATATTTTAATTTTGTTTCGTTAGTGCCAATTCCTAGCATGAGACTATTGTCACCCTTGAGAGCCGCACAGCAGTCTGCTTTCTGAATAGTTTCTGGTTAACAATAGCGCTCGGCAGAGCATTTGTCAAGTCATTGTGTGCGTCCTTTCCTTTAACTCTTCTAAGAGCAGCTCTGTCTGCGCTGAAACATTGCTTGCCCTCCCCAGTCGTGTGTCCGCGAGATAGACGGAGGCGGCTGTTCTCAAAGCACACTGCCTCGTTTATCACGATTATTACGTTTTCATTGTGTGTCTGTTTTAACATTGATTTGATGGGTAGAATGTTTGCTGTCTTTTACTGGAAATACTTGTAGCCGAGTCTTTTGAATTTCGTATCGTCTCCTGTCTGCCTTTAATTGTGCACTGTGATGTTTTCGTCAAAGTGTGTCCTGTTTTCTTGAAGACGACCGTTGTTTTTGGCTTTGTCTGCACCACACTGTACCTGTCTGCACGGCCCATCTCGCTCCGGGATCCCTTCTGTGAATTACCTGCTCCCTCCACAGCCCAGCCTAAGCCAGCAGGTACCTGGCTGTGGCCGACCGTCTGCAAGCCAGGCCTCAGCTCTGCTTTTCCACCAGACCTGGGCCCTGCCACCCCCATCTGATCCTTCAGGAGGAACTTGGCAGTTGGTAGAGAGGCGGAGGGCTCGCCCTCTCCGACGGGGCTCTGTGTGTTTTTGCTTTAATGCGTCTCCGTTTCTGCCGGTTTGTCTTTCGTTCCTGTCTGGAGTCTATACATGTAATCACTACGTGGTTTCTGAGAAAGTTCATGCTGAACCCCCTGCCCACCCCAGCGTCCTGATCTCCCCCATCTCTGGTCGCCTAGGGGTGTTACCATTAATCAGCGTGACGACCCCCTTCCCTTTCTGCTTCCGTTTCAGTTTCGAGGAGGAGCTGGGGCCAGCCGCCCCCGGAGTACCAGGAGCAGAAGCCGTGGTCCCCGAGCAAAGACGGCCGGCAAGGCAGCAAGTCCAGTGACTCCGGGGAGGAGGCGGAGAAAGAGTTCATCTTCGTGTGACGGCCCTGCCGCAGGCGTCCCCGAGCAGGGCGGGCGGCCGGGCGGGCGGCCTCCGAGGGGCGCCCAGGGCAGCTGCTCGGGGCCCTCTTCTCTCGGGCTCTTTTCTTTGCTTTTCCTTCTTTCCTTTCATTTTTTTTTTGAAAACAGAAACAGATCCATGTCTTGGTAATCAAAGCACATTTGTTCGGGCTTCTCTCAGCCCTCGGCATTTAATTAACCCTAAGCATTCCTTCCTATGCCTTCATCCAATGCCGGCAGGCACCCTGCGGGCCATACTTGAATTTCTCAGAGGCAGCTGCCCTCTGCCCGGCAGGAGAGCGTCTGGGGCACACAGCTGACTGGACGCTCGCTCGCACAGGGACCCGCCCAGGTGACGGTGGGTCCTGCCGGACGTACCTGCATCAGATGGGCGCCTGACCCGATAGAGCGGCTTACTCCCGCTGTAAGCAATTGCACATTGTAATTATAACAGAGCACACTAATAAATCGTTTGTATAAATTATATATATTAGGCCTCGGGTATGGTTTCTCCATCCTCCGTGGGGAGCACCTTCCTTCCTGGGGCGGGGTTGTGTGTTCCCACGGGGCCGGCGACCCCGGCGACCCCATCGACAGGCACGGTGAGGGCAGATCGCGGCCGGGGCTGCTGCTCCCACCTGCGCGGTTCACGTGTACAGTTGACTGGAACGAGGGTTTACGGATATTTGTGGTTTTTGATTTTTTCATTTCTGTCTGCATATTAGCTTTGGATGTGTGATTTTAAGAGAGAACACTCGGACACCTGTAAAAAAATCAGAATACTACTCTTTTTAAGATATTTCACAAATAGTCACTTACCTGATGAGCTGAAGGTATTTTATCCATATGTATATTTATACCAATAAAATGATTTTACAAGTGAAATTTCGACCTGCTGCAGTTGTGTATTTTAGTTAAGTTTGGCTCGTTGTGACGAATTTTGCTTTTGTGTCCAAAATCCAGAATAATCCTGGTTCCCAGGTACTCAAACCAAGTTACATTCAAAATACATGAAACTTGCTAATTCTGTCCCCTGCTCTCACCTTTGGGAAGAAGATGAAATGTGTCGGAAGGTTTATTATGAGTTTGATCGGCTCCCAGAGCCTCAGATCTAGGGTCACGCTCGGGATGGGAGCGTGAACTGTGAAGTGATGAGTGTCACCAGCAGGGTAGTTGCTGTGGGAACGAGCGTGAGGTGGGCTGTGGGCCCTGACTGCTGTGTCCCCCCCACTTGGGTGCTCTGCTCTGAGTTTTCTGGTTGGACAGCGAGGGTCTCGGGTTAATCACCTCTGGGTCTCC